TTTCCGAGCCTGTGAGCCACAATTACTGAGCCTGCGCTCTAGAGCCCACGGGACACAACCACTGAAGCCTGTGCGGCTAGAGCCCATGCACTGCAAGAAGAGAAGCCACCGCAATGGGAAGCCCGTGCACCGCAATGAAGAGTAGCCCCCACTCGCCGCAAATAGAGAAAGCCCGCGTGCAGCAACGAAGACCCAACGCAGCCAAAAATAAATAAAATTTTAAAATATTGTGGTAAAATACACATATCATAACATTTACCATCTTAACTATTTTTAAGTGCACACTTTATTTCATCTTCCCAAACGGAAACTCTGTCCCCGTTAAACACTCGCTCCCTGTCACTGCCCCCGCCAGCCCCAGGCCCCCGCTGTTCTCACTTTCTGTCCCTATGAATCTGACTCCTCTAGGGACCTCTGTGAGTTAGGGACCGTCCAGTATTTGTCCTTCTGTGACCAGCTGATCTCACTCGGCATAATGTCCTGCAGGCTCATCCAGGTTGTGGCATGTGTCAGAACGCCCCTTTTCGAGGCCGAATACTATTCTACCACGTGTATAGACGGCACTTTTTACCCATCGTCCATAGGTCTCTTGCTTTTTCCTGGTGGCACAGATCACCTTTGCAGTTGTTTTATTTCTTCTTTGATTCCGGGCTAATGTGGGGTGGGGGGCAGGTGGCCATCTATCTCTGGAAAAACTGAAGACACCATCACTCTTAGCAGCCCCCCTCCTCCTGCCTAAGCATCCCAGTGAGGGTTGGGCCCAGCTGTAAGTAGCACAGACCCAAAGTGACAGTGGCTTGTGCAACAGAGGAATGAGTGTCCTTCTCTCTCATAGAAGTCTAGAGGTTAAATCACGGGACTGAAACTGAGTGAATACCCATGAAATGCTTAGAACAATGGCCAGTTCATAATAGTGATCTGCAAGGTTTAGCCACTGTGTTCAGAGATGTTTGTGGCCGCATCACGTGTCACAGTAAAGCACTGGAAACAAACATCCGTCCGTGTGGGTGGGCGAAGCCGTCCGATGGAAGATGACACGGCCGGAAGTGGATGAGCCGGTGCGGCACTAACACACACCATCCTGATAGCGCAGAGCTGAGCAGAAAAGGCTGGCGGCACAACGATACCTGTGATACCACACACGCCGTCTAGGGACACGCGTGTGTAGCGAGACGATACAGGCGCCATCAGAAAGCCACGCAGGGCTCCAGCTGCCGTTGTGAGGTTTTACTTCTCCAGCGGGGCGGTTATTGTTCTTTCCACCTTTTTGTGTGTCTGAAATATTCCATTAAAATCAGAATATTATGTTGAGCGAAAGAAGTCAAATACAAGAGTTTAATCTGATGATTCCACTGATACACTGGGGCTGCTCAAACAAAGCACCACGAACAGGGGGCTGAAAGCAACAGACCTTCATTCCCTCCCACTCTGGAAGCCAGGAGTCTGAGATCAGGGTGTCACAGGGCCGTGCTCCCTCTGGAGGCTCTGGGGGCGGGTCCTTCCGGCTCTTCCAGCTTCCGGGGCTCCAGGCATCCCTGGCTTGTGGCCGCATCCCTCCCGTCTCTGTCTCCATGGCCACATCCTCCTCCTGTTGTCCATGAGTCTCAGGTCTCCGCTCGCCTCTCCCCTAGACGGACCCTTGTTGGCACACACGTGAGGGCCTTTAGGCCTACCTGGATGACCCAGGATAATCGCCCCATCACACCTGCAAACACTTCCGAAGAGGGGAACATTCTCAGGTTCCAGGGATTAGGGCCTGGTATTTCTTACTTGTCCTACTGAAGTTCTACTGAAAAATACTTCTTTGAAAAAACTGAAGTTCTACTGAAAAATACTTTTTTGATAAAACTTCCCCATCCTCAGTCAAATCATCAAATGAGGCCCCCTGAGGTCAGAGCACATCTCCCGCCAGCTCTGTGCAGTCCCAGGCCCTCCTCGGACCTGGTGGGGAAGGCCTCCGCCTGCCAGGTTGTCTGTGGGGACCGGGACGGCTTCCCGCACAGCCCCCGGGGGGACAGCGGCATGTGGCCTGCTTGCGGCTGCCGGGGTACCAGGGCTGCAGAACACCCGGAAGGAGCCTTGGTCTTAGAGACAAATAGCTGACGACTAAGGAACTGGCCGTTCCCAAAAGGCACACCCAGCTGTACCTGGGGCTCTTTACAGAGTAGTGAAGCCGCGTCCACGACAGGAGGCCTTTCCTGGAAGATGGATGGAGCACGGTGGCCGGGACAGGGTCAGGCAGCTGTGAGCACCCCCTCCACACAGCCCAGCCCCGTCAGAAAGCTCCCGAGGGACGGTGGCCTCTCCCGTCGAATCTTCGGCCTGCCCACGTAGTCTGAGGCCTTGGAAGGGGCCGTCTCCGGCGTTTAGGAAACAAGAGTGGGCCCTCAGGGCTGCGTCTTCAGCATGTCCTGCACGCTGTGTCCGTCTATCGAAATATCTATGGCTGCCCAGCCCTGTTCCCCATCACTCTGGGGGTACCCGTCTTGATGGCCTGCTGGGGCCCTTGTTTTCCCCCTTCATTTTGGTGGAGTGCATCTTCCAGTGCTCCCCTGGGCCCGGAGGCCACCTGCCTCGGGGGAAACGTCTACATCCTCCCTCCAGGGTTAAGGGAGAGCGTGCTTGTATCCAGGATTCTGGCCCACGTCCCTTCTTTCAGATGTTTTGAGGCTTTGCTCCCTTGTCTCCCAGCCTCCACATGCTAGAGATGGAGAAGCTGGATCCCCTTCTCATTCCCTAGACTCTCTCTGTGAGCTGGGTTTCCCCACCCCTAAGTGGAAACTTTTTCTGATCTTCTTGTCCCAAGTGCTCTAACATTTCACGATGATGTTCCCTGTGTGGGTCTTTCTCCATCTGTTGCACTGGGTACTAGGTGGAACCTTTCAACCTACAAACTCATGTCTTTCAGTCTGGGACAGTTTCTTGAATTATTTCACTGGTGATTTCCTTCTCTCTTGTTTCCTCTTTTCTGGAACTCCTACAAACCAGATGTTGGAACCCAAGAAGCTCAAAGAATTCCAAGCGCAAGAAACATGAAGAAAGATACATCACGATTTCCAAAACATAAGCAAAGCCGGAGGACTCACACTTCTTGATTTCAAAACTTACTACAAAGCTACAGTAATTAAAACAGTGTGGTACTGGCATAAGGACAGACATATAGACCAGTGGAACAGAACCAAAGGTTCAGAAATAAAGCCATACATCTATGGCCAACTGACTTTCCACAAGAGTGCCAAGACCATTCAATGGGAGAAAGAAAGTCTGTTCCCCAAATGGACAGCCTTATACAAAAGAATGAATTTGGACCCCTGCCCCACACCATGTACTAAAATTAACTCAAAATGGATCAGTGAACTAAATGTAAAAGCTAAAACTATAAAACTCTTAGAAGAAAACATGACCTTGGATTGGCAAAGGATATAATACCAAAAACGAAACAAAAGAAAAAACAGATAAATTGAACATCATCAAAAACAAAACACTGTTGTACACCAAAGGTCATTATCAAGAAAGAGGAAAGCTACCCCACAGAATGGGAGAAAATATTTGCAAATCACATGTCTGATAAGGCTCTAGGATCCAGAATATATAAAGAACTTCTACAACTGAACAACAAAAGGCAAACAACTCAATTTTAAAATGGGCAAAGGACTTGAATAGACATTTCTCCAAAGAAGATACACAAATGACCAAACAAGCACATAAAAAGATGCTCAATATCATTAGTCATTAGGGAAATGCAAATCAAAACCGCAGTGAGATAACACTTTACACCCACTATCATGGCTATAAAAAACAAAACCCAGAAAATAAGTGTTGGGGAGGATGTGCAGCAACTGGAACCTTCATGCACTGCTGGTGGGGATGTAACATGGTGTGACCGTGGAACACAATTTGGTGGCTCCCCGAAAAATTCATCATAGAATTATCACGTGGCCCAGCAATTCCAGTCCTGGGTATAGAACCAAAAGAACTGAAAACAGGTGTTCAAACAAATGCCTGTACACGAAGGTGCATTGCACTACTAGGCACAACAGCCCAAGAGTGGCAACAACCCAAATGTCCATCAACCGATGATGGATAAACAAAATGTGGTCTGTCCGTATAAGGAATACCGATCAGCCACAAAAATGGAGTACGGATTCATGCGACTCTGTGAATAAATCTCAAAAACATCAGACACTAAGTGAAAGAAGCCAGACACGAAAGGCCACAGATTGTATCATTCTTTTTATATGAAATATCCAAAACAGGTAAATCCATGGGGATGGAAAGCAGAGTAGTGGGTGCCAGGAGAGGAGGGGAGAGGGGAGTGACCGCTTAATGGGGGGATGAAATGTTCTGGAACTCGACAGAGGTGGTGGCTGGACGACCTCTAATAAACGCTACTGAATTACACATTTAAAAATTGATCATTTTAGGTTAAGTGGATTTCACCTCAATTAAAAAACCCCAAACACTCAAGCCACTCCAACCAACCCATCCCCAAGTGGACCACGCTGCTGGGAGAAGGGCCACAGTACCGACGCACACCTCCTGGGCCCCATTCTTCTGCTGCCCCAAGTGGACCACACTGCTGGGAGAAGGGCCGCAGCGCCGACGCACACGCTTCCTGGGCCCCAGTCTCCTGCTCCCCCCTCTGGACTCCTGGGAAAGGCACCGGCCTCTGTCTTCAGTCCCCCTACCCCAGTCACGGCAGGGGTCCATCCGCCTGGCTGAGTTCTCTTTGAAAAAATTTGCTTGCTGAAACATCTTAAGAGAAAGTTAGTTAAAGAAAAACACATCTAATCGAATAAATCATATGTAGATTCATTTAGGTGGCCAAGTGTTAATGACGGGGACCTATAACATCTCTCTCTGCTGGGCCCGGGCTAAGCAGTAAGCATCCTTGCTACCCACTGTGACAGAGTGATGCCCAGTGCCAGGTGGCTAAAAATCACGTGTTTGTTTAGTGTTTATGAAAGCAAAAGAGAACAGCCACACAGCCCCGGGGGTAGTCAGAGCTGGGCTGTGGCCCCGGCATCTCCACTTCCCGAGTTTGTCTTCTGGTTCCGCTCACGGGCGGCCACGAAGTTCAGCAAGTCGATGGCAGTGACAACTCCGAACACCATCTGCCTCTTACTGGACTCCCCGTGGCTGTGGTCTGAGGGGGGACAAGGCCGCAGGTTCAGAGGGGCCTTTACACGAAGCGGATCTGAGGCAGCCACCCCCCCAGGCACAGGGTGGCGGGGGTGTGCGGGGAGGATGCCCCGTGTTCACGGGCACCTGTGTGCCCTGGCAGCCCAAGCACAAGTGCCGTCCCCTCCCGACACAAGCCACTTGGGTGAAGCTGCCGAGAGCAGGGCCCTGACCCCTCTGAGCCACGCCCACCAGGGACGCCCGAGGGTCACATTCATTCAGAACAGCCGGTGGTCGCCCCTGGTGCACAAGGCCCGAGTTGTGGCATGAAATTCCAATCCTACTCACACCCAACACCACCGGCTCACGTCTCTGGCCTACAGTTCTGTGTTCAAACCCATGCCTTTCTCTCAGGCTTAGAATGGACACAGGCCGCTGGCCCCCTGCCCTGCCGCCCAAGGGCAGAGAGGGTGATGGGAGATGGTAAATTTTACATTTCAACTCAACTGGGCCATGAAGTGCCCCAATACTGGGCGAACATTCTGGGTGTCTTTGGACGAGATCAACTCTTGATTGGATGGACCTAGTAAAGCAGATTGCACTCCCCAGTGTGGGTGGGCCTCATCCAGTCGGTTGAAGGCCCGAACAGAACAGAAGGGCTGACCCACCGTGAGTAAGATGGAAACGTCCGGCCTTTGGACTCAGAAACATTGACTCTGGGGGCCTTGAACCTGGCCACTAGCCCCGCAGGTCTTGGGACTTGCCAGCCTATAAGCCATTCCTTATAGCAAATCTCTGTATACACACATCCTACTAGCTCTGTTTCTTCGGGGAACCCTGACTGACAGCTGTTGTAAAGCACACAGCGGGCCGGGCAGAGCTGAGCAGCCGGTGGCAAATGCCCAGGTCGCACCCCATTCCACCAGACCCCACTTCCCTGTCTGTCCCTCATGCCTTTGAGGGCAGAGGTCACACAGGGTGGGCTGCTGGAGACACAGAGAGGCCAGGCACCCTACTGGCTGGCTTGGAGCACCTCAGGAAAAAGCAAGGGGCATCCAGAAGAGATGAGGGGCTTCTAGGCAAAGGGGAAGCTTTGGAGCACTGAGCCCCACGGGGGTGGGCAGTCGGAGCAGTCTCCAGGTCCCCTGGGAGATACTGGCCAGAGCTGCGTTGGCAAACTTTCTGTAAAGGGCGGTAGGGTCTCTGTTATGACCCCTCAGCTCCGCCCACACAGCGCGAAAGCGGCCGCTGACCGTGCTTTCTGACAGGGCGGTGTCAAAGGAAACTTTATTTACAGACCCTGAAACCGGATCCCACGTCAGGGTGTGTAGATGTTCAAACACGAGTGTGTGACACAAGAAGGGGAGCCTCCCATCCAAGCTCGGGGTCCGGGGCCTGGACGCCCTCCTTGGCACTTGGAGGCTGCGATGCTGACCACAGCGCCGCTCCCCAGCTTGAGGGGTGGGCGGGACGTACACACCTGCAGTTCCCCCCGCCCACCCCCAAGGCCAGGTCCCACGCCGAGGAACCGAGGACGGGAGAGGGTTAGGTGGGGGCGCCCAGGCCCCGGGACCAGCCCTCGGAGGGCGGGAGGGCGGGCTCCAAGGCCCCCTCGCCCGGCCCCAATTCTCGGGATTTCTATAACCCTCGTCCTCTCCCGGCACCAGAATAACATCCCCGGCCTCCAGAGATGCGGCCAGGAGGTCCGGGAAGGGCTTTGTGAGCAGGCTATAAAGCCCTGTGATCTCACCGCGAGCCGGTACCCAGGCTGGCCCACAGCGGGGTCCCTCTGAGATCTGCACCCAAGGCTGGAGATCAGCTTCTCCAGCTTCCAGACGCCCTGTGCGCTCACGGCAGGAACGTGCACACACAAGCCTGGGCCGGGGGCCCGGCGGCCGGCACCCCACAGGGCTCCCGCCCCTGCCCACAGCCCGCAGAGGGCCCCACTTACACTGGATCTGCTCATGGACCACCAGGGCAAAGTGGTCCATCTCCAGGATGTGCGAGAGCTTGCCCAGAGGGTCCGTCAGGTGGATCTGGAAGGGAAGCCGTGGTCAGCGCTCGCCAGGGCAGCCCAGCTTGGCCGGGGCCCGAGGAAAGGAGCACAAGGCAGCAGGAGAGGCCGGCGCCCCTCCAGAAGGTTCTTCTTGCTGACTTAGAAACTGAACGAGACTTGACACACGCGAAAGGACACTTGGATGACCTGGAAGAGTCCGTACGTATCACTCTGCAAAGAGCCAGTAGGACGGCTTCCCACAGTATGATTCCCACCTCTATGAGTTTCCGGAAAAGGCAAAACTAGTCAGATTGGCGGTTGCAGGGTTCAGGCAGTGGGGAATGGGTACGGGGATCCAGGGCACGTGGGGCACATACACTACTGTGTGTGATGCTGTAATGGGTACAGGTCACCGTACATTTGTCAAAACCCACAGAGCTGTAGAACCCAAAGACTGAACCCTCAGTAAACTAGTGACTTTAGTTACGAACAGCGTAATATTCGCCATCCATCGGAACAAAACCTACATCCGTGCAAGATGTGACAGTACAGGGCGTGGTGAGGGGAGGGGGTACAGGGCCTGGTGAGGGGAGGGGAACGTAAGTGCCCACTCTGGGCCATCTGCTCAGTAGACACATGATGAGAGCTTCCAAGAAAAACAAAAAAAGGACACTTAGGTCCATCTTTCAAACCCCAAGGTGACCTCCAAAGCTGTTAGCCCCACTGGAACCCCTTCTAGTTCAGCTCTGGCAGCGGAGGCAAGTTCCCTGTGAGAGGACGCAAGCCCTGGGGTGGGTGGAAAAGCGCCGGCAGTGCCTTAACCTGTGTGAGGAGGGTTGGGCACCACCTGCCTGCCAAGCACGCGTGCATGCTGAGCGCTACACAACACAGCGGCCCTGGCCTGTGGAAGCAGATTCCCCCACGCTTGCCTCTACGAGGTCAGACGCTGGGCGTGGTCAGTAGGCCACGGGGGTCAGGATTTCTCTCCGCCGGGAGAGCAGGGCGGAAAGGGGGCGCCACAGCTCCATGGGCACCTCCCCCTGCTGCTCACTGCTGGCGGCCAGAGCCCCGTGGCGGCAGGAAGGGGCAGCCCTGGATGCGGAGGGTGTACCCAGGAGACAGGACCCACCCAGGTTTCCTCGGGTCCGCGTTCTCCTCGGGACACTGTCTGCACCAGGGATGCCGGGGACCCGGCTGAAGGACGTCCTGTGTCCCCTTACACCCACTGCTTGGTGCCTGGAGCAGAGCAGGCACACACGGCCCCACCCAACATCTCGGTGGCAGGGCGTCGAGACCCCCGAGGGCCTGGATGGCACTAGAGCCCAGGGAACTGGGGCTCGGCTACACCCCGGGGGAAGGCTGCGGTTGGAGGTCAGCCTCGGCCACTAAGGGGGGTGACCTAGCGGAACAGGGAAGAGCCGATCCTGACTACAGGCTGCATCTGTTTCTTTTACTTGAACCTCTGCTTCCCCTTGCTTTTTGTTCTCCAAAAGGACAGCCTGCCTCGGGGAACCCCGCCCCTCTGCCTGAACGTTAAACCCAAGTGCCTTTGTTCAGGGAAACGTCCTGACCCTGCCCACCTGTGGATGGCTGCTAGAAAGAAGCTAACACGTCCCCTCCCCGAGCCTGGCCGGTCCTGGGGACATTTGCAAGTCTTGTGGCCTTTGGGCTTTACTTCCTCATCTCCTACCCCGCCCTGTTCTGTGAAAGAAACTGTAGCATCCAGACCCCAGGAAGATGGTTCTTTGAGACCTCAGTCTGCCAGCTTTCCAAATAAAGCTGTATTCCTAGCCTCGACACCTTGTCTCCCGACTTACCGGCCTGTCATGCGGCGGCGAGCAGAGCAAGCTTGGACTCAGTAACATTAGAGCGCTCAGCTCTTCCCTGGGGGAGGGAAGGGCACACACAGCAGAGAATCAGCAGG